AGGTTCCCTCTTCTCGAATTCGTTCTCGGAATGAGCCGCCATGGATCTCGAGTTTGGACTAAAGAGCGGGCTAAACGGGCCAGAAACCGCGGGAGAATTCGGACTGCTACTAAATCCTTTGGTCAATGCAATGTCGATATCGAGACTCTGAACGAAATCCATGAACTTATTAGCAGAAGCTGTTCTCATCAAAGGTCCACCAGTTCTTGTCCAAGAACTCAAATCCACACTCTCGGTTTCACTGTCGCTTAGATTCCGAGCAGAAGAAGCGTGGAGGTTGTTGTTGTCAGCGACGAGGTCATCTAGTGAACCCGTCGAGTTCTCTCGAGCGATGATGTTCCAAGACGGTATTCTTCTAGAAGCATTAAATCTTGTGGTTGAAGCCAATCCGTGGTGAGACGATGACGTGGCAGTGGCGGCTCTCTCGGCGCTTCTCTTGAGTCTGCGCATATGGTTAAGTATAGCTACACACTCGTCAAGCGCAAGCTCGATCCCGCAGTTTGCTTTAATCGCTGAAAGCTTTTCCCAAGTGCATCGTCTTCCTTGGTTAGCTGCTTTCTGAAGCTCGACATGAGTCGGGTTTTGTATAATCTTCGAGTACTGCACAAATCCACACAACCCAATAAGAATCTTGCAAAGTATTAAAATTTCTGATTCAATCAAACAAAATTCAAGATTTCGAGGTTTTGGATCAGAACCTGAGCAAGAGTAGCTGGCATTACAACTGTTACATCACCTTCCCACTCCTGAGCAAAAAGCTTTGCGAGTCCACCGAGCGGAAAACCGAGCTCTAATACCTGGTTGCATCTATGTTTAACCTCCATCTCCACTAGATGCGCGAGCTAAAAAGGCGAAAAGAGTAGCACGGTTATAACGAAGGAAAGGAACAGAGCCGACAAAAATCGAGTTAAATATGTGAAATGCATACCTTAGCTGCGAATCTACCACCGTAAGCTCGAATTATATCCTTTAGACGTAGTAACGGTGCAATGTGAGGATTGGCTTGGCTCACAATAAAATGATTGACATTGAACAATTCCTTAAGCTGCATCATCGGTAAATCAACCTCCAAACTACCGTCTCTCCACCGGCGTACAGATGATTTAGATTTAGTACCTTCTTCTGGACCCAAATTGAAAGGTGGATGATATGGTACGATCTCTCCACTTCGATCTTTAGCCATTAGTTCTTGAGCTTCAAAGAGACCGGGAAAAGCACAAGAAGCAGTCACTGCGCTCCATATAACCACGTGAGGCGAAGTCAAGTAGTTAAGACACCGAGGAGGTTCATGCTTTCTTGGAGAGCAAACGGTTATCCCGAGTATCCTCCCTGTCATGTCATAAGCTTCTTGGAATGTGAGATTGCTTGTGAGGTTTCTAAGCATACATTGCAACTGTCTGATATCGTGTAGAGCTCCTTGTGTCATTACCCGTTTCACTATCGAGAAAACGCCTCCGAGCTGATCAAAGAACTGTAAAGAATGCAAAGAATTCTCAAAAAAACTTTGTAGCTCTGGCCAAGACCTCGAGGCCACAACCGCACAGATTATGGATCCAACACTAGACCCCGCGATTATCCGAGGTAAAAGCTTATGCTCAACCAAAGTCCTAACCACACCTACATGAAACGCACCAAGAGAAGCCCCACCGCTAAGAAGCAAAGCCGTTCTACCAAAGGCATGCCGTGTTTCGTGCATAAAGGAAAGCTTCTCTTCTAAAGAAAGCTCCTCAGAGTCAGAGTTACATACCATCCTCAATTGAGTAGAGACCTCATCGATATACTCTTTTATCTGTCTAGGAACCTGAAGCCTACCTTTATGAAGCTCCGAATTACACATATTACCGAGATTCCTAATGAGATCAGCTCTCATACAAAACATAATATCTCTAAGTGACCCTTCTTGACGCCGATGACGAAGCTCCTGAAGCTTATTCTTAACCAATTCTTCATCATAAAGATCAGATTCATTCATCTTTGGTGTCTCCTTCTCAAGCATTTTAGCAGCATGAGCCCATTCCTCGTACGTCAAAGCCGTTCGCATCATATTCCTCCAGAATTTCCTCCGGTAAGCCATTTCCGCCTTCATTTTCACATTCGTGTAACGTTTCAACACGAAAGCAATGATTGTAACAACCGCTAAGATCCCTTGTGGATTCCGGGGATGAAACCACGACACAAACGGCGATACGATAAGCTTAAATCTAAGGAACCAATGCAACAAGAACCTAAAGAGATCACGTCTAAGCTGTATCATTGATTTACAGAACAATACTCTGAAAGCAATCGTTCGACCAATGATCGATGTTGGTCCAATCGAAAACGGATCAACACTAGCCTCATTACTTATATCCATTGAAGATTATGTTTTTCCACTGCAAAATGTAATAAAACAAAACAGAAACTTTGAGTACTCAAAATGAAACAAAAACAAGCACGGATTTTTAAAACTTGTGCAGAGAAACAGAGTCATGATCTATTCTTAGAATCTGAAACTACTAACCAAAGTCAGCATTTTTTTTGTTGTTTCATCTAAATTTGACTATCTATGAAGAAATTCCCAAAATCAAAAAATCAAACAAAGGAAACTGATTTTTTAATAACAAGTATGAGAGACCATGAACTCCAAAAGCCCAGGAAACCAAAAAAGAAGAGAAATTTGAATCCAATAGAGAAAACCCAGATCAGATTTACCTTGAGGCTGGAGTTGGGTAGGTCGGAACAAAACCGAGAAGCAAAGAAGAAGAAGAAACGTGAAGCAGAGAGTTTACTTTT